TGCACGATGTATTGAGTATATGCAAGGCAGAAATGATTGCTATCCATGAAGCAATTCAAACATTAATTAAAAAGAAAATAAAACAGGCTATAATATTCTCCGACTCAAAAAGCGCTATACAAAAAATTAACTCTAATCTTTACAACGCCAAAGCTGACTACTGGACCTTGAAAACCAAAATGTCTATAATAATAGCAAACAAGAATGGATATAACTTAAACCTAGCCTGGATACCTGGCCACGCAGGGATACCAGGCAATACAGAAGCAGATACCTTAGCCAATGTTGGCAGAATTTTAATGGTTCCCAAGGCTATGAAACTAGATGCAAAAGACATACAGAATACTGTTAAAACTGCTCAGAGAAAGCATTTCAATAAAAAATGGCAAACTTGGGTTCAAAACAAAAAATACCAATACAACAAAATACAGGAGAGCTTTCCAATGAAGAAATGGTTCAGTAGTATACCTTATGTAGACCGTAGACACCTCACAACTATTATAAGAATGCGCACGGGGCATTGTTTGACCGGGGAATTTAAATACAAAATTAAAATCAAAGACTCACCGCTTTGTGAATGTGGTCAAATTGAAAATTTAAACCATGTATTTTTTGAATGTCCAATAAACATCATTCCAGATTTGGATTTATATGCAGAGTTTATTTTGTTGAATTTTTGTCCTCCTATTAGCATTCACTCAATATTGGCGAAACCAAACTATGACTCAATCATCCTATTAAACAGATTTCTTATTATTAACAAAATGAAATTGTAATGATCATCCAGTATCCGATCCTTTACTTCCAGATACCCTGATAAGTGTGTTGTCTTAATGTGCTCATAACTTCCTGTGTTGTCCGTTTATACTAATACGCCCTGCAACCAGTAATGGAGAGAGCTAACTGCAAACACACACAAACATGGACCCAAATATAATAAAGTTTGAATAATAGGTGATCACAATATGGTACATACCAGACGACAGTGGTCACCACCGAATTGAGCTGGCAGATTGCCTAGAAGCAAAGCCATAAGAAAGCAACAACAACTCAGTTGGTATATTGTTGCCGAAAAAGTAGGGGTGGAGGTAGTTTGTTTCGCCAGGGTTTGTACTTGCCACCAGCATTTGCCTTCCTTGTTTAACAAATCAAAATTGACTGAAACAAATCATCAATGACGTCAAAAACGTTCGTCGGTTCTTAAATCATTTTAATTTGTCAAAAAAATTGAATGTGTCATATGAATTAATCTACGACAACCCTTTTTTTTCAAGTTTCAAGGTCAAGTATGAACCCTGGTGAAACGGACCTTATCGCAGTTCGCAGTGTACATTAAAAACTCAATAAAATATAGACTGTTGGAGTGTTCTTGTCAGGATAGCACCTTGGAGTGGGTATGTGTGGTATAGGTGAATATGATGTAAAATTGACGGTTCTCTATGAGCCTCCTTCATATAGCAATGAAAGTTTTTTTTTTGATCTTGAGTCTATTTTAATTAAATATCCAAAAAACACGTCCTGCTTGGCGACATTAATATAAATTTGTTGAATATATGTAACTTTAATAGTTATTTATGTATCAAGGGTACTAAGTAGATGATTATGCCCTGAGGGCGACAGTCTTACAAAGCCGAGGGCCTCTGGCCCGACCCGAGGGTTCGTAAGAATCGTAAGTCGCCCGAGGGTATATAAATCTATTAGTACCCGTGGTGCATACAAACTTTTATGTCATACCAGTTGGTTGTGAATAATAAATACCTGGGAAAAAAGTGTCACTTCGCAAATTGTCATCAGCGTGCAAACATCATAATTTTTTGACAAAAATAATATGTTCATCAGCGTAAATTTATATATGCCCGCACGGGCATAAAGTAATAAATTATGTAGATGGTATCTAAGGTATGAAAACACAATAATGTATTGGTATGACATAAAATTAATAATACCATCTTGGACGAATTTGCAACTATACAGGGTGTATATTTTAAGTGATACCACTATTGCTATATCCGAAACGGTAAGAGCTACAAGGTCGGTTAAATTAGAGAAAAGTTGCCTTTTTTGATGCCCATTCAAAACTTGTTTACAGTGTTGTCAAATTCCTTTTAGTTTATGAAATACAGGGTGATTTATTAAAAACGCCAAAAACTATTTCATCAACTATTTCGAAAACTATTGATATTGGAGACACAATTTAAATTTGAAAGTTTTATAATTTTTTTCGCTCTACATTATGGCATCTTCAAATTTTAAATCCGACGTTTCGTGATCGAGCTTCTATCATCAACTTCATTTTTTTAATACGGACCTGGTCTTTTTATATCATTTTTACGGAGGGAATAAAAGGCACTTTCTAAAAATGACATAAAAAATCCAGGTCCGTATTTAAAAAAATGAAGTTGATGATGGTAGCTCGATTACGAAACATCGAATTTGAAATTGGATGACACCATGTTGTAGAGCGAAAAAAATTATAAAACTTTCAAATTTAAGTTGTGTCTCGAAAATTAATAGTTTTCAAAATAATTGATAGAATAGTTTTGGGCGTTTCTTAGAAATCACCCTGTATTTCATAAACTAAAAAGAATTTGGCAACACTGTAAACGAGTCTCAAATGGGCATCAAAAAAGGCAACTTTTTTCTAATTTAACCGACCTTGTAGCTCTGACCGTTTCGGATATAGCAATAGTGGTATCACTTAAAATATACACCCTGTATATATGTATAGAATTACACCAACCAGCAAAACTTTGATTGATCATGTATTTTCTAGTTATTCTAATTAGTACACTCATTAAAAGTGAATGATAACTGTTTATCAGATCATAGATTTCTGGCATTTCAAATTAATGATAAAATAAGAACTTATACGCCAAAAGTGGAAAAAATTGTTAAAAGTATAAATCATCGAAAGTTCATTTGCACGCCGTTGCCGTGAACGCCGACAAATAATGCAAATTAAAATGCAAGATGACGTCAGACGACTTCGTGGCGCCTGACGTCATCTCGGCTGTGATGGCATACGACGATTCTGGTTGGTTTAATATTGACACAAGTGCATCAACGTCAGTATTCCTGAGTGTATTCCCGTGTACTCCCATGTATTCCCACTTTTCCCCCTTTTATTCGTAAGTATTCCTTAATAATATAAATGTATTCCTATGTATTCCCAACTGGTCATATGTATACCCATTATGTATTCCTATGTTATTCCCTCTTAAATGCTCAAGGGGGTCAATTCTTGAATATCCTCGCATACGTAAGTTGATTCGAATTCGAATGACAGCAACGTGAATTGCATAGGAAGCATTCGAAATCATTTTAATTTTCGTATGCGAGATAATTCAAGAATTGGGGGCCAGGGATGTGGTTGATCCCTCGCTCCAGGGTGAACATTGCAACTGGACACGTTTACCCTAGAGTTATGCTATGCTTAACCTGGGGGTGACTTGCTATTGAGAAACCGGCCCTTAGAACAATGTGTAAACAAAAAATTGAATGCAAGTCACTTGCCTTCCAATAACTTGAATAATGTAAACTGTAAATGCCCCATAGGTACTCCACTTTCGGATATATTCCACCGCCTCACCTGTCCTGTAATATTATATACAAGGTTTAGTCCACGGTAAAAATACAGATATCACGGGTGAGTTCGGGTAACCAATAAACCAATTTCCATTTAAATATTGCAAACGTTCTCCTGACTTCCAAAGCATATTATCTTATTTTATATTATCACAGTCACAGTCGCTGTTTTGAATTAAAAGGATAAAATGTTTTAAGTTTCTGCATTTTACTATCAGCGACAATCAGCGTTGCTATCAGCATATTGTGTGATTCATGTAGGTATTGAATTTTTCGTTTTTTCTACTACAAACAAAGCATTGATTATTTTATTGTTGTCTTGAATTATTTATATAAATGTGTTACCCTAATCTTGAAACCTGATGCCTCTGACGAAAATATTTAACATTTACTAGGCTGTGCTGTACTCTAACCAAACACAACTAACAACAAACAAAAATATTAAAATCAAAATCGCTGAACTGAATGCCGGCCGGTGCGGTGCGTAGGCGTAAACCAGTCAGTGCCTACTCTTCCTGGCAATTTGTCGACGTTGCCACCTGCGTAAGGTCCGAGGTATAGTCTATCGAAAGTCAAATGAGACAGTAAAAAAAATAATATTCTTTTGGCCGTCGGCGTTTTCTTTATGAAGCACCGGCGGAGTAAGGGAAATTTATTAAAACAGTTTTATATAAAATAAAACATGAGGCACGATACAACTCAAATAGGAATCAAATTTATAAAAACTATCTAGGTACTGCACTGTCTTTCCAGACGAAACTGAATCGCAAGCGGCGGCCACTACAAAGAAATATGCCGCCAAAGAAGCCGCCTTTTCAAAGAAAAACGCCGCTGAAAATTCTAACCAATAAGATATTCCTGGAGTCAACGTTGACTGTATAAAACAACCAATAAGATGCGTTGTTTGCAAGTGGATTCGAATCCAATGTATACGGGCACGCTCAATATATTTTTCCTAATAATAGTATAATAATTTTAACGGGCAATACGATAATTTGAAGAGACCCCAATTTTTGCCTTGTCTCATTTGACTTTCGATAGACTATAACTGTTGCGACATATTGCCACTTTTACATACTGGAAATATCTCGGGAAATATAATAGCAAAGTCTAGTTTATGATATTTTTTAACGCAGAGAATGAACAATATTTGGCAGGATTTTAGACGAATTAATAATTATCAAATAAATGAATAAATACGTCATTGGATTAGACTGTCAGACCGATGACAGTTCATCATGCTGTGGTTCAGAGTTCAGGCCAAAGATCAGGCTTACGCTTACGGTGATTGGCTCAAAATAATTCCAATTTTATTTTATTTTTTATAAACGCTTATCTCCTATGTTATTTCTTGATTCTTTCCATTTTATTTTATTTCCGGTATTAAACCAGGCTTAAGTTAAGAAGTTCCTTACCTTATCTTTTGTCAATCGTATCGCCTCCTTATTATTCACACAACACACTCACACACACTAAATATTATGACCTTAATTACTCCACGTATTTGTACTCACGATTGAGTGACTTTTTTCTGTTTAAACTGCGAAAATCGTTCGTTTTCCAATTTTTTTGCTTTGGTCTACTCTTTTCGTACCGACGCTTCCCTACTTTCTGCCGGCCGCGGGCTACGCGGCTACTGCTACGCCGGCCTATGCACCATGCACCTGACCTGACAATACAACGCGCCTAACGCAACCAAAAAAGGCCAACTAGCATGATTCATGAAACGTCAACGAACACTTGCGATTCTACCCGATCGCAAGTCGAATTCTCGTCTGTCAAGGAAAGGCGAATTCGTGCGTTCTTGGAATTCGACCAGACCGATGGACCATACCATACCAACGTTGCCAAATGTACGCCAACCTACAGTGCCGCCAACCTAATTGCCATATCCGTCAAAAGTGAAGCCAACAAAGACGGATGCCACAAGGGGGAATGTTGTTCTTTTTAGTTGCTCGCTGACATATGACGTTTTGGAAAGTTTCTTTATATTTTTAACTTCACAGGTTTTATCAAGTGAAATACGTGTTGAAATCAATTTTCGCCATTTAAGAGGCCAGCAACAAATTCAAGCGCGCGAAATTCATTCTTTGTCGCCGAGTTCAAAGTAGGACCGTGATAGACGACGTTACGGCAAATATTTCCGAGATAACGGAAGGGTGTGATCAAATTGCATGGAAGGTGAATAATAAATCCTATGGGCTTTTGTGGAGGCAAAACTAATACACCTATCATATTTAATATAAATTAAAAAGTATACAGTTATAGGTAATAATAGTTTTATAATTTACATTGTGCTTTTTATTTAACAAATAAGAACGTGGAGAATGAAATGTGCGGAAACACAAAAATATATTACGAAGATAATAAAATTTACCTATACAAATACAGCAAAATAGATACTTGAAATGTTTACACAAAAAAAAGTGAGGTGGCGTAGTTACGAGGGTGGGAGAGATGATGTTTATTCGTTTATTACATAAAAAACTTCCAGAAAACCTAGAAAAATAATAAAAAGGAAAAGTGTTAATTTCACACATTGGTGAGATTGCTCATGAAAACCTCGGACACATCGATTTTTGATTTCAGTTGCCGTTTTTCTGATGGTAATATCATGTAGGTATACAGGGTGACCCAGAAACAAGTTGTGACAGCTAACTTTATTTTTTTAAATGAAAACATTAATTTTGAAGTGAAAACTTCTTTAGAATCGTTGGGAGCGATGTGAGACTCGATGAAACGAAAAAGCGACATGAAACGAAAAAGCGACACTTTTTTAACACGCTTATATTAACACACAACAAGAACCTGGAACAAGCCAAGTGAGCTGGAACAAGTCTGGAAAATGTCTGGATAAATCTGGATAAAGTCTGGAAAAGTCTGGAAATCTCTGGAAACGTCTGGAAAGAGCCTGGAAATTTCTGGAAAGGGTCGGAAAAATTCTGCCAAAGGTCCCAAAAGACCTGGGGATCATTCTCCAGAATCCGTATCAGTCTGAACAAGTCTGAATAAAGTCTGGATTAATCTGGATGAAGTTTGGAAAACTCTGGAAAGCTCTGGATAAGTCTGGTTATTGTCTGGAAAAGTCTGGAAATCTCTGGAAACGTCTGGAAAAGACTTGGAAATTTCTGGAAAGGGTTGGAAAAATTCTGAAAAAGGTCCCAAAAGACCTGAGGATCATTTACCAGAATCCGTATCAGTCTGAACAAGTCTGAATAAAGTCTGGATTAATCTGGATGAAGTTTGGAAAACTCTGGAAAGCTCTGGATAAGTCTGGATAATGTCTGGAATTCTCTGGAAACGTCTGGAAAGAGCCCGGAAATTTCTGGAAAGGGTCGGAAAAATTCTGCCAAAGGTCCCAAAAGACCTGAGGATCATTTTCCAGAATCTGGATCAGTCTGTACAAGTCTGAATAAGGTCTGGATAAATTTGGATAAAGTCTGTAAAACTCTGGATAAGTCTGGATATTGTCTGGAAAAGTTTGGAAACATCTGGAAAAGACTTGGAAATTTCTGGAGAGGGTTGGAAAAATTCTGAAAAAGGTCCCAAAAGACCTGGGGATCATTTTCCAGAATCCGGATCAGTCTGAACAAATCTGGATAAAGTCTGGATGAAGTCTGGAAAACTCTGGAAAGCTCTGGATAAGTCTGGATAATGTCTGGAAATCTCTGGAAACGTCTGGAAAAGGCCTAGAAATTTCTTGAAGGGGTCGGAAAAATTCTGGAAAAGGTCCCAAAAGACCTGGGGATCATTTTCCAGAATCCGGATCAGTCTGTACAAGTCTGGATAAATTTGGATGGAATCTGGAAAACTCTGGGAAGCTCTGAATAAGTCTGGATAATGTCTCGAAAAGTCTGGAAATCTCTGCGGCTGACACGCTTTTATAATACATCGAACTAAAAAGTGAAAAATAAATATATTTTAAAAAAACTAAAAAACACGCTTTTATAGTAAATTGAACTAAAAAGTGAAAAATAATGTTTAATAGAAACAGAAAATATTAATGAACAAAAAATATTAGAATTATTGTCAAAAAAGCGTGGGGTGCTCAATGTATCAAAAATGTGGAACAAAGCACCCCAGCGTGTATTTTAGTTTTTTCAAACTATATTTATTTGCGTTCTTTCTCAAGTCTTTTGGAGGAGGGGACGCCACTGTGTATGTTAGTATGTGTGTAATGCATGCAGTTCGATGAAGGTTTCACTTCTACCGGGTGTGAACTGCACAGGATTTTTTTAAATTTCATTTCTTATTTCTACGTTACATTCTGAACTTATTTTATGTATCATGTCCTATACCTATCTTCAACTGTTTCGGAAATAATAAGAGTTGAAAATTTACTTTCTTGCAACTTTGACAGGCTGTAAAACCTGAACGGTTGATTTTAGAGCTAAACCGATCATACATTCTTATCTGAGTTTTCCATGAACTATCATTTGACACCAGCTTAGAAATTAATCCAAGATTAAAAATTCCATTGCTGAGTTGTATTTTAGCTATTTTTGGGTTTGAAAAAAGGACGGTTCTAGAACGGTTCAAAACAATCGCACAGTTTATTATTGAAATTTGTGATAGCTGAACCGTTGTCATTTAGTTGATTGATGAACTGTGCGATTGTTTTGAACCGTTCTAGAACCGTCCTTTTTTCGAACCCGAAAAGAGCTTTTATGAGAGAATTTCATGAATCAAAAATTTAAATTTTTTGTCAAAAAATGTTAAAACACCAGTGTCGCGCCAATTATCGCGTGAAGCCTAATTCTCACTTGCGCGAGATTCGCTCTTTTTTGACATTGCTTCAATAATTTGACGTTTGATACACGCATAAAACGTAAATCAACAATCAAAACATGTCAGTTTATTGTTGGAATGTCAGTTTTGACAGATGTATGAAATTCTAAATGTCGAGTGCAATGGAAATTGTCGATAATTTTTGGGAAATTTGCCCGGATGCATTTTTAGTTAAAAAGGAGCACCAGTGCTTTTTCAGTGCCCATTTCTGTCAAAAACGCATGAGTGCAAATTTGTCAAAAATTGAAAATATATTTCCATTGCACGAGTTGTACAGGGTGGCCCGTTTAAGAGGGGCCTATACCTTATCTCGAAATCTACGAGGGCTGCAAAAAAAAATTAAATACAAAAGTTGTTTCTAATAAAATTATCTAAATTTTTTTTGCATTGTTTTTGTTGTTACTCTACTATATACAGGGTGGAGAGATAAAATTTAATTTTTTTTAATGAAACACCCTATATATTTCAAAACACTTTCATATAGCCCTTTGAAAGACAAATCCAACGATATACTTGACATGTGTCTGTGATAAACCGTTTCGAACTTATTAGTGATAATCTTCAGGATCTGGGGTAATTTCAAACAGGCATTATTACGTTACTCATAAACTTTTAAAACTTTTTTTTGCATGCTATTTTTCATAAAATAATGCTCTTCTTTAGACTATTTTGAAATTTGGAATATTTGCTCAAAAAACGCCGTGTTGCCACGTTTCGCAAAATGTTACGCTTTTCAATTTTTTTAAATGGGACCTCCTGTAAATTTTCGAATTTTTGGATAGCCCTTTAAAATACAAATTCAACGATATACTGGAAATGGGTTTGTGATGCACCGTTTCGGCCTTATTGGCGATTATCTTCAGTTCTAGCACCATATTTTATGTCATCCCTGTTGAATAAAGAAAATGTCTAATTTTGCAGTAGATTAGCTGAAATAGTGCTCTTTATTATTATTATTCATTCAGAAGTAGTTAAGAAAAGACGTTTAAGTTTTTGTTTTCATTAGTGTCTCGCCTTAATAATGGGGAGAAACTTTGACTACTCTTTGAACAAATGATAATAAAAAAATATTTCGCAAATTATTTAATAATACCTACTGCAATAAACTATAGTTGCAGTAAACAAGGAAAGCATTGAATTATAAAGTCCAAAATAAAGGTTACTGATTAAGATTATATGAACAAACATTTTGAGAACTTCAACTTCAGGCTAACTATAAAATTAATTTAATTAAATTCTGTGTCCGCCATTTTCAACAATACAGGTAATATATCTTACTTGTAAATGTGTTATCGCATTTAACACGTAATTAGGTTGATCTGACAAATATAGCAACAGAGCGTCACGTTTCATTTTTTGTTTTTATCCAAATTTCTCGCCTTTTTTATTTTAATAATGGGGAGAAACTTTGACTACTTTTTGAATAAATAATAATAATAAAAAGCACTATTTCATCTAATCTAATGCAAAATTGGACATTGTTTTTTATTCATCAGGGATGACATGAAATATTGTGCTAGAACTGAAGATAATCGCCAATCAGGCCAAAATGGGTGCATCACAGACCCATGTCCAGTATATCGTTGAATTTGTATTTTAAAAGGCTATCCAAAAATTCGAAAATTTACAGGATGTCCCATTTAAAAAAAATTGAAAAGCGTAACATTTTGCTAAATTTCAGTATAGTCTAAAAAAGAGCATCATTTTATAAAAAATATCACGCAAAAAAAAAGTTTCAAAAGTTTATGAGTAACGTAACAATGCCTGTTCAAAATTACCCTGAATCCCTGAAGATAATCGCTAATAAGTTCGAAACGGTTTATCACAGACACATGTCCAGTATATCGTTGGATTTGTCTTT